ATTATTTTAATTCATTTAACTTATAGTAAAAAATACTTTTAAAACAAAAAGGAATTACACTTTACTAAAGTAAATATTATTAAAATCATAAGTATGTTGTTAGTTATGTATGAAATGTTTTGGTTTTACATTACAGGGAATAATGCTGAAAGTTTTACACAATTCTTATTCACAGAAAAACCATTGTTGATTGATTAAAAACAAGAACATGTATGAGAAATAGTTGCTTATATTTACAACTGTTTAGTAAATGTTATTTTATGATGTCTATATATTATGGCTTTGTCTTACAGTTTATTCATTTCAAGAGGTCAAGTTAAAATCAATGAGTTTAAGTTGCCATCATTAAATTTTGTACATTTAACATTATTATGAAACTCAACATTTTTTTAAAGATTTTATGTTATGAAGTTGTGACAGAGTTATATACCTTAAAATAGTAAATTTAAACCATTAGAACATTTTAGTTTAGGCAGAAATTTGTTAGCTCAGCTAATGTTATTAGAATGATGAACAAAAGCTTGTTTAGTAGTTGGCTGGGCTGAATTAAATTTACCTTAGCTGACTTTTGTTCATATGGCATTATGAGAATGGACAGTAAATTTATTTGAATCAAGATTTAAAGTTATGAAGTTGAAACAAAGAAAAATTCCTTAAATTAAAACTACTTGAGATGTTTTTATTCTTACTAGTTCAGACCAGAATTTGTAGGCCAGATTTCACAAGTCAAAAACACAAAAACATTCTATTCTGCTAAGACAATTTTTGTTGGCCTGAAATAGATTCGACAGTTTAGGCTACTTAGATTCAGCCAAAGTACCCAAGTGTTAGAGTCACCACTTGTGTGTATGTAAATTTAATGCCTTTCATGAAGTTAATACAAAAACAAAGCTCCAATAAATGATCTCTATTAAAATCAATTCCCTGAAAATAGCTTTGAGGACTCCAAATTCAATTTACAACAATTTTACACAATTTTCTGTGGTTGACTGTTTGTATTACCATATTTTCTGGACTATAACCCATGACTTTTTTCTCAAAATATGTAAGGTACAGGTTATATATGGATTGTGTCTTTGGCCGGGGTTAAGAACATAGCTTCACAAAAACTAGTTACCAGCGTCAAGCCAGTTATGTCCAGATAGTTGAATTTATAGGAGTGTGGGTTATATACAGGCGTGGACTATAGTGCAAAAAAATACGGTACTTGTTAGGTTTGCCTTGATTTATGCTATATTAACCATTGGCCAGATTATTTTATGTCAAATTCTGGCATTTTGATAAATAAAAAGGTAGATTGGTACAGTAAATAGATGACTTCTTTTTGTGGAGGTTTTAGTCCTCTGCATGTGGATGCAATCAGTATGTTTTTGACCCCAACCAACAGGGTAACTCTTAAATAGGCAAAACATCCTTGAATATTTAAGAAATAAATATAATCTATTTTTTCTTTGTAACTGATTCATTCAGTTTAGCCAAGTCTGCTACCCTTAAATCAGACAAAGACTAAACTAGCAACAATAGCTTAATTTAGTCCCATTGATTTTACACATTATATATTCAGTTGTTTTTTTTTATTCTTTGATTGTTTGGCAAAAATAACCTTGAAATTCATTAAATCCAAAGATTCTAGAAAATGAAGCTGTTTTGGGTTATCCTAAAATTGATTTCAGAGATCAACAGGATCAATACCAAGAATTCTCTAGCCACAAATCCAGCATGTGTTGAAGGACTTATTTCTGTTAATGTGTGATACCTGCAGAAAAAAAAATTAAATTGATATGGTTCTGTGAAATTTATCAGACATTTTCTTCAATACCGTGTAGACTATATCATCAATTTCATATATTTCAATCCTGATCAGTTGAAATAGAAAAAGATATTCAAATTCAAGTGTCAAAAATTAGTTTATAAATTTGTTTCTTCTTAAAGATTCAAAAAACAAAAATGTTAATTTTAACATAGGTTTAGACGTAACAAGGGAGGCAACTTCTACTCATCTATTAACCGTGTAAAAAGACATCTTTTTTATATATTAAATTCAGAACATTTTTTAATCAATTCACCCCAAGCAAGGCGATATTACCACCAGGATGCAAGGGGCTACTGAGAGTGAAAGAAAACGAAAAAGACTTTAGAAGGAACCAGAAAACCCAATACTAAACATGAATCGAGGCAGAAAGCTCTACTTCTGTTCAAAAGACTGGGGAGGAGCATGTACTGGACCATAGGTGAACCTCTCTACTATTGAGGAAAATAAATAAATAGTAAATAAAATTTCACAGTTTAGATGGAGACTTTAGAAGTACAGAATTGAAGTAGACTTTAGTTTAGACTTTTTCAGTACTAACCATGAAAAGTTAGAAAAATTCAAACTCATATTACAAGCTATTTTTAACTTCAAGAACAGTAATAACTTACAGCCTGTGTGGATGGAACCTTTAAAGACATTGAGAGAAATTTTTAAAAGTTCTTTCAAAATTAAAATTTTGTCCAATTCAATTGTTATTGGTCACTTGAATTTTCAAAATCTTCACTCGTAGATTTAATAACAAAATACTCCGGACATTTTAAAAGCTCTACTTTTTTTTTTTTTCTAAACAAGTTCAAGAATATTTGTTTGTTTTTTTTTTTTACTTTTCACAACCAGAACGAATTTTAAGTCTTCTAGTTTTAAAGATTCAGTAAGAGTAAGTTATAACTTATAAAAAAGAAACAGTAAATACTATTTTTTTCTATTACAATATTTTCAACCATATAAACAGATTTTATATCACACACACACACACACACACTTCTCCTTTAGTCACATAGACTCTACTGAGGAATATGGGGCCACAATTCTCAACAACACTTGGTGCTGCTTCTGTGGTTTCCATAGCAAGTAAGGTCTTACAAGATGAATTTGCTAACCTTAAGTTCAACTGGTTTTGCATCTGCTTTTGGCTTACAGTACCAAGTGTTCGCTATCTTGGTATCTAAGCTCAACACTACTTAACTTTGCTGATCAAACAAGAATCAGTGTTTCAACATGATTTTACCATAAGCCTAGAGACACATAAAAGTGATATTACCATGGATATAACATAAAATTATAGTTCATCATAATCAAATGGTCATTTCTTTTTAAAAAAAAAAAAAAAAAAAAGGGACAAAGATAAAATTAAATTTCTCTGAATTTTTAATGAAGAATTATTATATACTATTATACACACACACACACAATCTTTCTTCTTGTTTTTGTCTAAGAATTTCAAACTAAACACTTTATTCAGTCCCTATGAGAAGATTGTTCTTATTTTAATCTCTATGCTAGTGAATATTGTGTATCAGTTAATTCTTCCATTGCCAAACTGTCCTGAATAAGAGCATTAGTTAAGCAAAACAAGTTATCTGACTGTTGCAGTTTCAATCCCTGGGTCAGGTATAGCAAAAATGTTGTATACTTTGATTCGGTGAAAGAGACACATGACATTACAAGGACAAATTATATTATATGAGATATCTTCTATCATGGACTACAGAATGAAAATAATCTATCTCTGTGAATTGAATAAAGGGTCTGATTTGAAATTTCTGGAAAGTAGCCAACTACAGCAGACACAAAAAAAAAAAAAAAAAAAAAAAAAAAAAAGGAGCCAGAGGGCATAAATGGCTGAAATCTGATGAAAACAGAGATCAGTGATGATGGGGGGCAGTAAAGACTAAAAGATGGATAAAAAGAGGAAAGCAAAAATGAAGAAATAGTTTTATATTTACATAGACTAACTATTCAATTCAAACATTAAAAGTAAATGAATAACATTCATAAAATTATAGTATTTTTAGAGCCAATGTTAAGATGCCATGAGTACAGTTGTAAAACATCACACAAGCATAAAAGGCATCAGACAAAATAACAATACATCTTTTTCTATCATTTGTAAGACAAACAAAAAAATATTAAACTAATTCCTCATTTTTCAACTTGAGTACTTTGTAGTAGAAAAATAAACAACACCTTGTAAAATGCAGTCTTCTTGCAAAACAAAATTTCCATATCAGTGGCAACAAACTTCATTAAAAAAAAATGTCTTAATAAAATTGTATTATCAAATTTTAATGAATTTTCCCTTTCCTATTGCCATTTTTTATTACCACTGAATTATATACTCTTTTTATTACCACTGAATTATATACCTTTTGCCATTACTATCAAGAAATAGTCTAATACAAGCCTGCATAGAAGGTGACCCATGAGACTATACCCACTGTGGTCCACTAGACTTTTCAAAATAGTTGCTGAAATTGTAAACTTGCCTCTCTCTGTCATTTCTATAAATACTTTCATGGTAATTGTTCCACTGAGCTCTTCACTATGGTACCTAGACTTTATGAATTTAAGCACAGTACTACACAGGCATCAAGATCTCATCAATTTATAGTTGAGTCAGATGTAGCCATAAATTCTATACTAACAGTTTCTTTTCTCACACTTCTCACTTGTGGAACTTCCTTCCGGCTCCATGCTTTTCAGCCAACTTTAATCTGCAAAAATTTAAATGCAATGTCAATTGTGATCTACTGTCCTCCTGATTGCTATTTGCTCTTTCCACTCATTTTTAATGTTTCTGTTCCTAATTCTTCCACACCCTGTAGCTCCTTGTGTCTTAGTGGCTTTACTGCTTTGCATGGAGTGATACCAATAATAAAAAAAAAAAAAAAGTACATTTTGTATTCATCAAAATAAATTCAACAACTGATTGCATACAAAAAAAAAAAAATTAGTTTTATTATTAATTCGAGATTTAATTAAAACTATTATTCAAATGTGCTATTAAAAATTCAAGTCAAAAATAAGAAAAATCATATCTGCTTTTGGTAAGTAGACACAGCTTGCAATCTTGTTATCTCAATCCTCACAAGGTAAACACAAATACAACCTAACGTTAAGAATAAAATTAAAAAATAAAAATAATAAGAGAAAATAATTAAGTTAATAAAAATGTTCTCATACTTACCAACTAAAAGATTATTAAATGCTTCACCTACATTTGTTGCATCCAGGGCCGAAGTTTCAATAAAAGAAAAATTATTTTTTTCTGAAAAAAAAAAATAAAAAAAAATAAAAAAAAATAAAGATAAAAATGAAATATAAATAAGAAAAAATTATTAAACTTTTACATCTCAAACCTAGTTCTAGTTAAATTTATTCATCATAAAACATCACAAAGAATTATTAAATCAGGATATCAAAAGTCAATTTGATTAATAGAAAAGTAAGCTTTTATAAAATATCACCTTTTCTAACTAAGATAATACATTTAAAGACAAGTACGTTAAAATAGATAGTTAAACATTTTACTAAATTTTAATTAAAAATTTATACTTTCTTTAACACATAGATAATATTATAAATTATATTTTTAATTTTTTAGTATACACTATTATTTTTTAGCAAAATGTTCTTTATTTTTCTCAACCCATTTTTTTTCTTCTGTGAAATCATCAGATTTACATTTTAATTTATCATATTTCTTATATACAAATCTCATTGGTTTGTTAATGGATTTGTTTTTAAAGTTTTATTTTCAATAATTTAATCTCAACCAGGGCAATAAAGTCACTGATAGGCAAGACATTTTACCGAGAGTGAAAGAAAATGAGAGAACATTAGTCAGGGGAAAGAACAATAAACAAACAGGATTCAAAAAGACAAATGGCAGTTGACATTACATTTAAATTTTTGAAAATCATAGTTGACAGGAAAGAAGGAAGCCAGAAGAGATTCCCACAAGAAAGAAGTGCAAGAGAAAAAACTATTAGAATAGAACTTACAGTTACATCTAGATATTTCAACAGTAAAATGGTGAGACCTAGCTGTCAATCTAGTACTGCACTTACATTCATAAAGTCAAGGTAGCAAAGAAAAAAGCTCATCAGTTTATTAACTTAAATTTTAAAAATTGACCACAGTAGTTTTTAAATAGTATGGTTGCCATGGTAACAACTTTTCCTTAGATTTCTTTCTGGGTAGACCTGAGAACAACAACAATTAAGAAGTGATACCTTCACTCTCCCAATCAGTGGCTTTTCTACCCAACAGTTTATCATCATAGCCAAGAGTTGTCCCATAATAGTTGCTACATTTGCATATATGTTTCACACACTAAATGTAATTATTATTATAGGACAATTCTCTGCACAAGACAAACAATTATATTAATAACAGAATTAAATAATTAGATTCGTGTAAAAACCATAAAAATGATTAATGAATAATTATAATAAATTGTCAAATTTTTTGGTTAAAAAAAAAAATAAAAACATTATCAACATATGTTGATTTTGTTTTTTTGTTTTTTTTACAGATTATCAACCCTTTGAGGGTTTATTTTTTTAAATATTGCATTCACAATGTTTTTTGAGAATAACAAAGATTTTATTTTCCAGATACAATCTGTTAGTTCCACTCCAATAGTGGGAATAATTGCAAAATACGTTCTTTTTTTACAAAATACAAAATAATTTATAGGCAGAACCGCACAAATGCATGCTGGGATTTCTTTCTATCCAATAAGAAAGGTCACTTCTCAGTTTCATCTGACTGAATTCTCACCTGTTTTCTCTTGAAGTCAGAACGCTACATTTGTTAATCTAAATCTGTTCTTGTGTGTCTACACCAATTCTTAGCTTGTGAACTTTTTGCTTTATAACTGTTGCTTTTTGTCTTGCATGTATTGTTTGTTTGCCCAATATTATTTTTTTGTCCTGTTCTTTTTGTTGTTTATTACAAACTTTGTGAATTCTGTTTGTTGGGCAGTTCTACAATTTACATTTAACCACGGCCACTTATTCTACACAAGCTCTACTATTTAAACTTTAGCTGGGGGAGGGGGAGACATTCATACATTTCCTAAGGTTATTTGTACATAAGAGAATACAAAATAAAATAATTACTAATAATGAAGAAAGCATTTATTTTACAAAACAAACATTTTTTTTAACAATTTCTTTCCTTTCAATGCACTTAACCCAACAACTCTCAATGAATCCCACAAACTGAACATTATACAGTGAAAATTTCAGATCAAGATTCAGCTTCAAGTAACTGACTTATTGATCCACCTTAAAAGTAAAAAATACCATCTATAATTTTGAGAAAAGTCATCATTCCATGTTTTGTTCAGATGAATGAACTTATTTTCTATTTTGCTTTTGTCATGAATTGTAACTCTAATGATGTACGATCAGTGCAATGTTTAGTGACTTGGAAAGAGAAAGCAGTGAGTGGAGTTTGAATAATGGTAGAGTTCATTATATTCATTTTCACACAAATAACCTTGGGAAATGTATGAATGCATCTATCCCCCCACCCAACTGTTGATTAAATGGCAGGGCTGACCAAGCTCTCTTGGCAACCAGTCTAGGAGAAGGAAAATTGAATTCAAAACCAGCCAAAAGAGGAAGGAGCTCCATCAGGTTATTTTGTTGCAAACACACCATTGCTATTTCCCCTTAGACCCTAATGAGTTACGCAGCATGTAACAGAATGTACACCTAAAGAATGTTGTAAAATGCATGATGCAGTGAAAAAAAAAAAATAATCTGAACAATTCTTTATTTTACAGAAGGTATAAAAACAAATTTTTAGAACAGGTTGAAAGCAAAGTATTCTTTTTTTTTTAAAGTTTTGTACTTTCAGGTTTTCCATGCACCTCCAACTCTTGACTTCTCCTGTCGTGGGATTTAAGGTACAAAAACTTTTTAGCACCTCCTCAGAAGATACTAGGAATTCATATTGTCATACAGAAAAAGGATTTTTTTTAAGTGATAGTTTTCACATTTATCTTCATGAAAAAAAAGCATGTATAATTTTCAAAAATTTCATCCAAGACAATAATCCTGGTAAAAAACAAGAAAAAAATTCCATTCATTCTGCTTTACTATTTTTCCTTGTACAACTATATATATATCTATATATATATATATATATATAATCTTCTATTTTAAAATTCCTTGGTTAAGGTAAACGCCATTGAAATTTGTGTATGACTATTTATGGTAAGAATGGTTATTTGTTATCTTCTTAATTCTTGTTCTTTTATTGTCCTCTCTATCTCCTTAGGATACTTTTCTCATATTCTCTAACACTCAATAACACCCTTGTGTCTTAGTGGCTTTATTGCCTTACATAGGGTGAAATGATTAAAACAAACATTCCAATAGTGACAAAAGCTTAACTTTGAGGCTTACTGATATTATGTGGTACATACAGAGTTCTGCCATATCAGTAGGATCTGTCAGGGGACAAGGTATCTTCTAACCATGTACTTTGGAATAATGTAACATTATTGAAAGTGTTACACACCTGGTTAGTAAGGAGATTAGATATATCATTATATGACATAAAAGCATCACTTCTATAAATATAATTCTATTGATGTCTTTCCTGTTCAGGTATTTTTAAATAATGAACCTACTCAAGTGTTTCTTCATTTTCAAGGTGAAGGACTTAAAAGAAAAAAAAAAAAAGTTCATTATCCATATGTCTCTTCATTAAGAGGTACTACAGTTTAGTTTGGTTGTTTTAAAAAATTATTTTTTTATTTAACAAAACTTGATCAAATTACAAACATGTTATTTTCTAAAGATCATCTTTGACTTCCCCAAGATAAGTGAATGAGAAAAATATTCCATACCATTTTGCCAAGCTACTCATCTCTACTAGAGTGTTAATTTATTCTTATATTTTGTGATACCGTCTTTGATAAAAAAAAAAAAAATACCAACACATATTGATGTTTACATATAATAAAAACAAATAATCAATAAAGAAAGAAAGAAAAAATGAAAGTAAAAACAGTTGGAATTAGTTAAAATCTAATTACTATAATGATACTTTAATGCCATAAAGACCTTCATGGAGAATAGGACTATATCCTAACCATGCTAAGTGTTGCTACAATGATTTCTGTTTTTACAGAGAAACAACAGAGTAGATGCCAAAGCCATGCTTAACTGGGTTTGAATTCAGAGTTGTCCTTCATGAGTGGTTACCAAGTCTAAGGTATTTAGCTCGTCCTCTTATTTAATTCATAGCTAGGTGCATGCCGATTCTGTTTTCCATGCCAATAACCGTTGTTATGATATGAATGTGTGTTTTCGCATTACTAAGTGTATAGTGGCAGAATAAAGAAGAAAGAATTAAAGCAATAAACAATTGTCTTAACATGAAATACAATAAACGAAAAATCAGTGTAGATGTCTCTTATAAAAAAGACGAGATAAATGAAGTTGTAAAAGCAGGAAAAGAAAGATAAATTGTGATTTACTAGGGTACCAACATTAGCGAGCTGGTAGAGTTTGATGTCTTTGGAGATGAGAGGTCACTTTTTGCTAAAACATAAACTCAGGTCAAGATGCAGTTCAACTGCCAAATGACCCTTTCATGTCCTTTTTCGAGGCTCAAATTGGCTCCAGTTTTCATTTTGTTTCTTTAAGCAGGAATGGGTGCTATTGGGTGGAAATTCTGGATTGTATTACCTTTTTTTTTTTTTCTTTGAGCGTGTGAGTTAAATGGAAGATATGTGTGAAGCAGATGGATTTAGTTGAGTTTTGGGTGTTCGGAGCATTCACATCCAGCTAGTGGTGGAAATTAGTTTAGCATGAATCAGAAGAAGATATGATTTGGGGAAGAATTTAACACTGTCATGCCAACATCCAATATAATGATACAGTTAAAATAAAAATTAAACATTCAGCTGCTTAATGTAACTTATGTTTTGTTTCGCTAATGCAGATTTTGTTTTTGTGAAATAAAATTCCTTTTCTGTTGACAATGTTTCATTGGCAAAACCTGTCAAAGGAAATGATTTTCAAATTGTCTTATATAATTACTATACAAATACTATTGCAAAAACATCAGCAGTGTCTTCAACTAACCCTACATCAAATAATGACCTTGGGGTCAGGCATACTTTTTGAGGGTGTTGAAGCACATCTACAAACAATAATGGGTATGTTCCCATTCACATAAATACAAAAGTAAATACTCTATGTTGGTCTACAGTTGGAGATTCATTGTGGAATTCACCTGACTCATTTCTAGCAGTTGACTACTTCTACGTGCTGCTGGTGAATCTTATATGTGTTGTTCTTGTCCTAAGTATTATTGTTCATTGCCAACCTTCATTTTATTATTCTTTTCATTAACCTTCCCTAGGCTACAACAGAGAACCTGAACACATTACATCTCACAAAAAAAAACTTGAAGAAGTGACTGTATAAATGAAACCACAGTATTAGTATACACTGGCTTATATTTGAATGAGAAGTACTGGCATTTCTTTTCAGTGTAAATATCACTTTTATACATATACAAAAAAGTGGGGTTTGGGGGGGGGGTTATGACAAGCTGATGAACATTTCTTTACCTGCTAATATCCGTCCTTCATCCAACGTCACAGCACGTAGGTGTCGTAAATCTGTTTTGTTGCCCACCACCATGATGCAGACATCTTGATCGGCATGTTCATGGAGTTCTCCAAGCCATTTTTCCAAGTTACTGAAAGACAGTGGCTTTGTTATGTCATAAACAACAAGTGCGCCAACTGCTCCACGATAGTAACTGGAAAAAAAAGAAAAAAAGAGGAAATATTAATAACATTTAAATTAGATGGGGTTTAGTTCTGACCATAATTCATTCTACAAATGCAAGCACTTTGGTGAGAAATTGCATTTCATTGATATCTCTCTTTACTCAAATGAAGTAGCATGAAAGATTATTTTAAGAAATAAAAAAATATAGATATATAAATTATTCCAGCTGCCAAATGGCTAAAATTTACATTGCTTAAAGGATGGGATTTTATTATCACATTAATCTGAAAGTTTACTTTCCTTTTTTCTTTTAAATGTTAAATTCTTCTAAATCTTGTACATATAGCAGTGGCTCCCAAACAGTGTGGCATGCCTCATAGGTGCAGAGGAAGAAGAATAGCAGGTGAGGTAGAATGATTGAAAGACAAAGATTTAGAAACAGTTTTAAAAACATTCATATGCCAAAAATAAATATGATTTCAAAATTGAAAATATTATTATGGATTACTTGTAATTGCATGCATGAGTTCCAGTATAAATAGTTATAAATAATTATTGACCGATTTTATCATTGTGATATTTTTGCATTATATCAAGTGTTAAGAATATAGTAATTAGGGTCCACAAATTGGAGGAGAGAATTATCAATGATAATGTTCTGACTTCGAATCTGAAGTTATCTCCCTTTAAGCCTCTCTCTGTTTTTTGTTTTTTTTAAAATGTACTTTTATCACATAAAATTTGGTGAAACATGAACAAATTCTAATTCATAAAATGCAGCCCAGAGAAAAAAATGTTTGGGAATCACTGATTTATAGAAATCAGTTAACTTTCCTTTGCTACATTTAACATGATTTAACGAGTTGTTCTATAAACAAGTGACTTAAGTGTTCCCAAGCAAAAGAAAAAAAGTTAAAAATAATAAATAAACCAGAATAAAACAAATATTAATTTGAAATCTAAAATCAGAAAGAATGCTGAAGACATTGTTGTCACACTTTCTAAATTGAAAGCTACCAGTTACATCAGAAGTGATCAATATTACTTTTACTATTAATATTATTAAAAAAAAAAAAATAGCACAGTAGACTATTGAGTAAAATTAAAAGTTAAATGCTGGATAAATATCACAATCTTGCAAGAAAACAAGAAAAAATAAATTGCATGACAAAATGACAATTAGGCTCATCATTAATGGCATACTTGTACTAGGAGACATTTGTTATATTTTCTTTATTTTATAGGTTCAAATAATTTGCTTTCACTTTTATAAATTTAATTTAAAAAGACAAAAATAATTAAACAGGAATGTTTGTTACTAGCAGGATACCATAGATTAGTGTTTCCTAAAATGGGCCATAACAAATTTCAGATGGGCCACAGAAATTTTATAATTTTTACTGGCTCACGAGGCTTAATATATGGGCCATAGGTTATTGAATGGTCCATAGAGCTTTTATTGAATACTAGTCCTTAAATTCATGAAATTAAATATATGTAAATAATTTTAATATATTTAGACTATGAAAATTTACTAATTACTTAGTGTTTGAATAACTTTTAATTAGTCAGGAAAAAATATTGTTTTTTGTTTAGGAAATAAACTTGTATAAAATTGTATAGGAAAAATTGTAAAAATAAGTATTGATAATAAATGGTCATTTTATTGAAGATGAAAAATATCTTAGATGCTTGTGAAACTGTGTGTATCCAATAAATAGACATAGAAGATATCTAATAAAGATACAATTATGTAAAATGGAAGTCATTTTTTACACTATAATAATTTCATGGGCCAAAAGAAAAATTCTAGGTTCAAAGTGAGCCATGAGCTAAAAAAGGTTGGGAACTACTGCCATAAATATATGAACACATGTGTGTATATGATCACAAGGAATAAAATTGGTTATATTGCAAATAAGCTACAACTTTTTTCTGTGTGTTATTATTTTAATACTTGTTTACCCATGTGGTCAAAACTGATAGCACATCTTATAAATTCCTTAATGTTATTATAAGGTCATCATAAATGATTTATTCATACATTTTTTCCACTTGTTGTTATTACTATTATAGTTGCCATTATTAATGTTATTGCTATTATCATCAGCATTACTATTATTTTTATTATATAACAACACTACTACTCTTTCATAGAGAATCTACTTTTTTCACTTCCATTGTTTGTAAACATCTGGAAACAGCCATTGCCATAGTAAAAATACTGTTACCCAGTACTACAAAGGACATAACTCCAGAACAGAAAAAAAAAGATATTACCAACAACATATGCTTTTTTTAATTTTTTCAGTATGCAACTAAAGAACACTTTAATTATGATTGCTTTTAGAATTAAAAGGTTAAATGCTTGAAAGTAACATTTTGAAAACTTATTCCAACCCTTGTATTTTTGTTTTTTTATATTAATGAATTTGAAAGATTTAAAATAAATCCACTCTTTTTTTCAAACACAAAGTAATTTATTTTTAAGGGTGGGATAAAAATGTTCCAACAGCATGATTGTAACAAAATGAGATTATTTACAGAACATACAGCTACTGTTATTAAAAGAGATTTGGGAGGAAAACATAAGATAAAAAATGGTTAAGCTGCAAATTTTATTAACTTTAATAATCAATGCAAAAATTTTATATCAAATTTAATTTTTACCGGTTCTTGAACATTCAATATGGTTGTAATTTTAAATTTTGTATTTTCCTGCTTAAAATTTAGGGAAAAAAAGAGAGAGACCTTAAAAAGATTAAAAAATCTCTCTCTCTCTATATATATATATATATATAAAATACTATCTTACAACCTAATTAGTATACCAATCTTGTATTGATTATAACTATTGCATAAAGCAAAGAAAAATTCAATTTCAGGGTCTAAAAAGACACTATTAACAGCTTTAGTAGTCCCAGAAAAAAAAAACTACATTCACAATCAAATGATTAGTGGTAATAATTTGAGGATACGACATTAAAATATCAAAAACTGTGAAAAGGATTTATTTTAATGCCATACTGTGAGTTATTTATTGCAATAGCCTTGTGGATTAAACAGTTTATGAATATGGTGTTATAGTAATTGTGAGTTCAATCCCTTGGCCAGGTAGTACAGACTTAGATTTAGTGGAAAAAAAAAAAAGCAACAACTGAGCAAGACAAAGAGAACAAGATGAAATATCTCTACAGTGGAACAAAAACACTCTACGACTGTAGTTTAAATAAAAGGTTCAATTGGAAATTCACTGAAGCTTACTTGTATCAATAAACACCTGAAGAAGATTGGAAGGGATAATAACAAAAATAAGAATATTAGTCCAAATGTAAATAAGAAAATAATATATATTTTGCTGCTAGAAAATTTAAATTCTTGCTTTTCCCTGTACATTAAGGAATTCAGCTGAAAATATCAGATTTAAGTATTTGAGAAAAGCAATTCCATAAACCGGTTTTAGCACTAACCTATCTCGAGTTGTCTCCCTTGGATTTGTTCATTCTTTAATTCGGTCATGTAAAATGTCTTTAATACGTTTTAAGACTAAGTACATTAAAGATCAAAATAATGATTAAAAAAAAAAAAAAATCAACAGCAGCAAACAAATATACAATACTGGTAATTTTATTTAAAAAATTAGGTCCAAATTCTTTACAATAATTCAATGCAAGATTGTCAAATATAGACCTTAATCGACTCTGAAGACCATCAAAAAATAAAGATTTAAACACATACTGGAGTCATTATCAGACATAGAAAACTTTAATCTTTTGATCAATGGTGAAATAGTCTGTTTAATACAGACAAATCTATATTTTTTCATAAGAAACGGTTATCTCCACTAAATTGAAATATTTGTCCAAAAAGCTAATGTATACCACTTCTTTCTAGTTTCCCACTTGTCCAGTGATCCACCCCTTTATATTATTTGAACCTCATTTTAAAAGGGAAATGATTTTTCCCCATATGGTCACCATTTTTCTTTGGAAAAAAAAGAGGGTATTTTTCTTTTAATGATTTCAAAATAATCAAATCACCTTTCAATCATAAATGAAATTTAAATGTTTGTTAATTGGGATAACTTTTAAAGAATTTAAATTCTTAATTTATATTAAAAATGACTGAATTTGCAGAATGTGAAAATGAACATTCTTAAAGGGCTTCATGTGTTTTTTTTATTAAAAAAAAAAGTGTTGTTCAAAAGACATCAAAACTCAATTTTGAAACAGAAAATAACTTCTTTATTAAATAAAACTAATTGAGACTGAAATTTTTTTTTTTAATGAAATAAAGCATTCAGTTAGAAATTCCAAGGATACCTGCTCTACGATTTGGATCATATTCAAAGACAAAATTGCATGTAAGTTTTTGGAAAGATTTGCCATTAAACAACAAACCATGATCATGTTATTTTTTTGTTTAAAATCCTAAAATTCAGACAGAAGGTTTCAGTTGATTTTATAAAAGATTTTTTGTAATCTGCATTAAATTAATGATCATCCTAGAAACCAAAGATGATAATTTCAAATTACAATAATCTGCATATTAAATAAAACTTTTTTACTCCTCATCCCAGAAATTCAGACAGAAGGTGATATTGATGATAAAAATGAGGACAATAATTTAAATGTAAATAAATTAATCATAAAAATATCATCAGGAAATTCAGATAAAGGTGATCCATTGCATAACAACAAAGATGAGGACAATATCCTTTGCAAATATAAATAAATTAATATTTAATATCCCTCATCCTGAAATTCAGACAGAAGGTGATCAATGATGACAACAAAAAAACAATAATTGCATGTAAATAAATAAATGATAACTCCTCATCCTGGAAATTCAGAAGAAGGTGATAACAACAAAACCTATAATTCATGTAAATAAATTAGTCTTTTCCTGAAATTCAGCAAAGGTGTCAAAATTGATGTTTTTTGCATGTAAATTTCAAAAAATTTCATCCTGGAAATTCAGAAAAAGTGAGATAAAAAAATGATGACAATAATTTGTCAAATAAATATA